TTTTTTTTTTATGAGGTCCATATTTATCATTTTGTTCTTTTATCTTTCTTTTGATGGCATGCGTTAGAACTATTTTATGAATCTTTAGATTGTGAATATTTTCTTTGTGTGTTTCTTCTATGTTCTATAGTGAATTATTTTTATAAAGTATGATATTCATGCCATTTCATTTTTATGCATCCATTTTAAGGATGTCTAGTGGGTCCGGTGATATTTTTTTAAAGGCTATCATTCCTCCATTGTACTACATTTGCACTTTTATAAAAAACAAAACATATTTTGTGAAAATATGTATATGTATAGTGACTCTTCTAAATGTGTGTTTCTTTACCAATACAACATCATCCTGATGATTGAATCTCTACATCTTTACGAACGTGTTTCAGCTATTCTATTTCCCTTGTCTTCCCATAGATTCTACTTAATCTATCTCTATCTAGTTGCCCTACTAATGTCGTGGGTTATGCATTGGATTGCACACCATAAGGTCAGCAGTTTGAAACAACACTTCTCTAAGGGAAAAAGTTGAGGCTTTCTGCTCCTATAAAGATGTACAGCTTTGGAAACCCAAAAGGGTGTTCTAGTTTGTCCTGTAGGGTCGTTATGAATCAAAATCAATTCAGTGGCCATGAGTTTGGTTTTTTGCTTTCTGTTTTACTTAATATTTATCTACCAAATGTGTTATTGAGATTGTTATCGGGCTTATTTTAAATTTATAAGCAAACACTGTCTTCCAATCTGTGAAATAAGTTTGATTTTCCATTTATTTAGGCCTCTTTACATTCATCAACATTTTGAAGTTTTTATGTAGTTCCTAAACAAAATTTTATTAAATTTATGTTTAGAAGTGTAATGGAGTATTATAATTCTTTAAAATTTCAGTTTACAGCTTTTCATTCTAGTATATAGATATATGTTTCTGTGGCTTGGTCTTTGTATTAGGCTGAGTTTCTTAGAGAAGCAAAAACAACGACACTCATCGATATATAAGAAAGAACTTTACATCAAGAAAGCAACCTAGCCCAACTCAAGTCCATAGGTCAGGTGGCCTGTAAAGTTCAGTGCTTGGGTTGTCATCTTTCGGGGAAATAGCAAGTCCCAGACCCTGTCCTTTGTAAGGATCCAGAGATAAGCTGAGCTTACACACAAACACACAGCAGCAAAGGGTTAAGCACAATTTTATAAGAGCATAGAATCACTTCAAAAGAACTGAAACAGGTCCTTCTCTTGAGGTGCAATGTACACTTGACTCATAAATAAGATGCTCTTTGGTATGGGAGTTGCTGCTCTGCAGATGACCAAGCAGCTTTCGAATTACAGTTCATCTTTGAGTCTCTTTTATCTCAGCACTGGCTCTGAGTAAGTAAGTAAGTAAGTAAGTAAGTAAGTAAGTAAGTAAGACTTATCTTTTACTTGTTATAATTTTTATAAATTGATTATAAATAAATTGCAGTGTTTATTTATATTGTGAGATTTGGAAACATTTAGGGAATTTAAGATAGATATACAATGAGATTTCAGAAATAGAAATACAAAAAACATTCTGTTGGAAGATTCAAATGTATTGTAAAATTATTTTTAAGTATCTAAGATATGTTTTTTAAAGTGTGTATACATATTTAATATTGTTTCCCTGATCAGGTATAGGTTTCTTTTTTGTTTGTTTGTTTGTTTTTGTTTTTTAAATCATTTTATTGGGAGCTCATACAACTTTTAATCACAGTCCATACATACATCAATTGTGTAAAGCATATTTGTACATTTGTTACCTTCATCATTCTCAAAACATTTGCTCTCCACCTACCCCCCTGGCATCAGCTCCTCTTATCTTTAAGTACAGTGTTGTG